TTAGGATCAATGAAGTCATCAGGGTGGAGCCCTCATGATTGAATACCGGCCGCTGGGTAAGACGGAGAGAGACCGGGAGAGGCACGTGTGCTCCCTGTCTCCCACCATGTGACACCCCTCGGACTCCCAGCAGGACGGTCATCAACCGATAAAGCCCAGAGTTTGTTTGCCAAAGCACACCTCCTTCCTTCCCAACTCATCCAGTCTCTGTCATCATGACAACAGAAAACAGGCTAATATACCCTGAACAAGTATCCCTGAAACAGTCTCACACGTCACTCTCACCAAGTCACAGAGGGAACTGGCTTGATCACCCCATTCCCCAAGCTACGTGGTAAAGAGACTTGGAAAGGAAAGATGCTGCTCACCACAGCTGTGGGTCTGGAGTCTTAGCAGAAAGCTGTGGTCTGGAGGACGGAGAGGATGCTGGGAGCCATGGTCCTGGGGACATGATGCTGGAGCGCTGGTCCTGAGGTCAGAGGGGTTGCTGGGAGGCATGGTCCCGGGAACACAGGAGGAGTTGATGGGAGTTTTGGGACTGAGGACAGAGAGGATGCTGGGAGTTGGGCCCTGGACAGGAAATGTGTTGTGTGATGATGACCCTTGGTTGACCTGGATATACAACAGTTCAGAAGTGATGGAGAAAAAAGAGGAGAGCGTTTCAGGTGGACCCCGTCTACCTGCTGGCCTTGAGTCCTGTGAGTGGTTTTTCACTCTTCTGGGTCCTATGGGTCATAAGCCTGCTGCAGGCCATCGGGTGTCCACAGGAGCGGGCTCAGGGGAACCCACGCCCAAGAGGGAGAGTGGACCAAAGTCTAGAGGGGTGAGTCAGCCTCCAGGTTGGGGAACGGAACTGAACCGGAAAGGCAGAGTGACACAGACAGACTGGACCAGACTGTGGGGAGAAGGGTGCAGAACCCAGATGCCACACCTGAAAGGTTGCCCCAGGGGCCTCTCCCTCCCCAAGGCCTAGGATTAAGACTTCCTTCCAGTCCAGTTAGCTTTCTGGGGGCCCCTCCCAGGGAAACAAGACTAAAACTTGAGGTTTCATGGTCAGGACCAGAGGCAGGGAGCGAACCCCATTCGATGCCCTGCCCAAAGAAGTCCACACTTGCCCAGCCACCCGGCCCAGCCTCTCACGCTTTGCTACTCACCTGCCCACATTCACCTTTGCTGCATCACACTCCTCTCCCCTCAAAGCTCACACTCACAGCAGCACATGCCAGCACCTCGCATCTTCGCGCGCTTCCGAGCATCGCCCTCCAGCGCCTCTCCAGAGCATCTCCCACGCACCCCCCTGTGGGTCGCCTGTGCATCTTCTGCACAAACCCTGAGCATCTCCCGTGCGTCTTCCATGCATTCCCCCGTGTATCTCCCGCGCCTCTCCCACGCATCTCTCGTGCATCTCCTGCGCATCTTCCGCGTGTCTCCCGGTTCAGCATCCTCCGGGGAGCCCCACTCGCCCTGGCTACGCCTGCGCGCACACGCACGCACACCTTTGCACCTTCACACGACCCTCCCGACCTTCCGCTCTCCTGAGTCCTCCCCTGCTGGCTCCCACGACGCCGTCACGCTCACGCCCAGGCCGCGCGCCCGGGTCCGCGCGCTGTCCTGCGCGCGCGCCCCCCACCCCGTGCGCGCCCTGTCCGCGCTCCCGTCCTCCCTCACCCCGCATTGTCTGGGCCTCTCTGCACCCCCCTCCCGGCCCGGCCCCGCCCCTCACCCGACGCCCCGCCCACCCAGGCGCGCAGTGGGCGGGGTCGAGGGCGGGGCCGGACTCGGGGGCGGGGCCGGCGGCGCGGGAGGTGCAGGTGCCGGGCCGGGAGCGAGCGGCGGCGGCGGCGGCGGCGGCGGCGGCGGTGGCGGCGGCGGCGGCGGTGGCGGCGGCACCATGGGCCGGGCCCGGCGCTTCCAGTGGCCGCTGCTGCTGCTGTGGGCGGCCGCGGCGGGGCCAGGTAGGGTGACGGGGGTGGGGGCCGGGTCGGCGGGCTGGATCGGAGTGACGAGGGAGGTGTGCGTATTGCAGTGGGGCTGAGGAGGGGGGTCGCGCCGCGGTGACAGCCGGGTCGCCTGGGGGCCTGCAGAGGCCCAAACAATGCGCTTCGGGGGGGGGGGGGGCTGCGGGAGACCCTCGTCTCCGGGACAAAGCGCAGCGCGGGCCAGGAGCCCGGAGCCGCGGGCAGGGGGGGGGGGGGGCGCGGGCCCCGGCCGCCGTGCCGCAGCCCCCCCACCCCGCACAGGCCCCGATCCCGCGGGGACAAAGGGCCTGAGACCCTTCCTCCCCCCCATGTCCCCAAGCCCGCCTTCTCCAGGCCGGTCCCACTGTCCTTCCGTCCTGGTCTTTAGATCCTTCTCTCTCTGCTTTCTCCCCCCCCACCCTTGTCCTCCGTCCCTCAGTCTTCAAGTCCTGTCCTTCCTTCTGTCTGCCACCCCCTTTCTCCTTGTCTCCCCTCTCCCGTCTCTCCATTTTGCCTTTGTCCCCCACCTCTGTCCCTTTTTCCTGGGTCACTCTGCCCCCCCCCCCATTCACTCTGCTCCGTCTCCTATGTGGCTGCCCTCCCTCCATGTCCCCATTCACCATCTCTCTCCCTGTCTCCTTGACCCCCCGTATCTCTTCCCTTCTCTGTCCCCATCTGCCTCATCCCCTTGTCTCTTCGTCCCCTACCATTCACCCATTTCTCCACCTAACCGCCTCCTTTCTCCTTCCTATCCCACAGTCTCCCCGTCCCCGGACTGACTCTGCTTCCTCTCTCCGTACATCCTCCATCGAAGTATCCCTCTTTGCTCCTGGAAAGGAGAGTCAGGCAGGGCAGCGACAGTATAGATGTGTGAAGTGGGATAGGGAACAGTGGCATGTGGGCACACACGTGGATTCCACAAATGTCTCCCCAAACCCTCCCACCCGTTCGCACACCCAGGCCACACTTCACAGAAGAGCCCCCTCCAGGACATCCACATGTCTTTCTCCCTCACTGTGGGAAGCTAAAGACCCCCAAGACAGGGTGACCCTGAGGCTGGGGACAAGGTCAGGAAGTGTCACCTGAACACTCACACTTACAACCCTATGTGTCTCATATCTACCATGGGACACCTATCCTGGGTGGGTCGAGTTACTTTGCCTGAGAATACCTGATGGGGAGGTGTCAAGCAGGACTGAGGTCTCCTACAGGGAGTTGGGACCAGGTGACCCAGGGCTGGGAGCCCTCTTTCCTGGCCCCGGTTCTATCAAGGGACGGTGCTGAACTTTGCGACTGATGATGTGAGAGCTAAGTTGAGTGTGGTCACACCTGCCACTCCACGGGTTGCCTTGGAGGACGAGGCCGACATCAGAAGTTCTGCCTTTCCTCTGTAGACTTCTGTAGTGGCTTCCTGGCTTTCACCAGTCCCTCTTTTGCAACGGGCATGCCCCAATTTCCCAGGTGAGAGCTCTGGACTTATGGTACATTTCCATCCATTTTTATTTTTCTTTATGCTTCTGCATGGAAAGTAGGCTCCTGGAATCCTGGAGCCAGCGAGTCCAGTAAACAAAGAGCCTGGAGTGAGTTAGAACGTTGACGCCCTTAGGATGCTGGAAGTCTTTAGAACCTTAACACCTTTCCATTTCTAGACTGTGGTTGGTCATGGTGGCCTGTAACCCTAGCTCTGGAGGCTGAGGCAGGAACATGAGTTCAAGAGTTGCCAGGATCACTACTTAGTGATATTCAGTTTAGAAATAAAAGCATAAAAAAAAAAGAGGGAGTGGTGTGTATGCTAGGGAGGAAGCTTACTAGTAATAGGTGTCTAGAATCCACCAATGAGGGGCTAGGGGTGTGGCTCAGTGAGTACTTGTCTAGAATTAGCAGCCAGGGAGGGTCTGGGAATGGAGCTCAGTGGCAATGCATTTGCCCAGCATGTGAGAGGCCCTAGGTTCAATCCCCAGTGCTGGAAGAAGAAAGACAAGATTCTTTATGATTCTTTATGGGCTGTTCTAGTGTCTTGACATACTGAAATCATGAAATCTCTACCCATTGGGGTTGTGCAGCTCCTGGGCCCTTGTAGCCTCAGCTGACTACCTATCCAGTTCTGGATTCAAATCTTGGGCACCATCTGGCAGATGGCTCTGAGCCTTGTCCCTGGTTTGATGTTAAAATCACTGCTTCCTGGCACCTTAATCCATTCTGTAAACGACCTCTAAATTACATGCTGTGGGGCTTTATGAGTGGAAGGCAAGCGTGGTGTCTTCGGGAGAGCTCCGGGCTTGGGTTCTGGCCTCCTCTCTAGCATAGTTTAATGTCAGTCTCTGTCCTTTTATGGGCCTCAGTTTCTCCTTTTGGGGAGCATGGTCCTAAAGGGTCCCATTTATAGTACTTCTCATGGATATCCAGTTCCCTTTTCTCTTCCTTCCTTCCTTCCTTCCTTCCTTCCTTCCTTCCTTCCTTCCTTCCTTCCTTCCTCCCTCCCTCCCTCCCTCTCTCTCTCTCTCTCTCTCTCTCTTTCTTTCTTTCTGTTGTGTTTAGTTTTGTTTTTGTTTCTCCCCTGGCTGTCCTGGATCTCTCTCTGTAGCCCAGGCTGGCCTCCAACTCACAGAGATCCGCCTGCCTCTGCCTCCTGAGTGCTGGGATTAAAGGCGTGCGCCACCACCACCCAGCCCTTCTCTCTCTCTCTCTCTCTCTCTCTCTCTCTCTCTCTCTCTCTCTCTCTCTCTCTCTCTCTCTCTCTCTCCAATACAGGGCCTCACTATGTATAAAAGGCTTTTTTTTTTTTTGGTTTTTCGAGACAGGGTTTCTCTGTGTAGCTTTGCGCCTTTCCTGGAACTCACTTGGTAGCCCAGGCTGGCCTCGAACTCACAGAGATCCGCCTGGCTCTGCCTCCCGAGTGCTGGGATTAAAGGCGTGCGCCACCACCGCCCGGCTGTATAAAAGGCTTTTAAACTCACTATGTAGCCCCCTGCTGGTCTCAAACTCACAACGATCCTCCTGCCTCAGACTCCCAAGTAGTGGGATTACATGCTTGTGCTCCAGTGTCCAGCTTTTTTTTTTTTTTTAATTGAGTCTTTATGAAGGTCCCTGACCACCCATTTTTAGGAAGTATCAATGGTCCCTACATCTCCTTACCCAGCCAGCAGCAGGACGGGGAGACTGGAGCCTCTATTTGTGCCTTTCAAAAAGAAACAAAAGAAAAGAAAAGAAAAAAAAAAGAAACAAGGTATCCCGTCTTTCCTGGCTCACTCATCTGTGGAGAATGTGGGAAGAGGAGAATGAGGCTGATGTTGAGAGAAAAAGGTAGATAGAAATACGTTACAGGGCAGTTGACCACAGAGATGCACGTGGGGTTGGGGTGGGGGGACCCACAACAGGAGACTGGACCCGCAGCAGGAAGCTGATATGTAGATCCTGAGAAAGAATAAAGAGGTTATTAAGACTTGGGGAGCCCTGTGGAGGGGGACTTTGTTGATCCCAAGTTAAGTTTCCCTTCTAGGGTGACTCACTTCTCCCTGTTAACAGCTCTAAGCAACCACTTAGGGCATAGAGGGACCCTCCTTTCATCGTGACTCACCCCAAAGAATGGGTCTTGGGAGATATCTATCACTGACCCCGACCCACTCATGGACTGGATGCCTGGGTCCCCCCCGTGTGGGGGCGGAGGTTAGGTTCCTCCACAGATTCCAAGACCTTAGACCCAGCGGAGCTAGGGCCCAGGGGTGGGTTAATGTCGTGCGAGCCTGGCCTGTCCCCGACTCGGGGAACACAAAGGCAGCTTTCTCTCTCTGGGTGTATGTGTGTGTGTTGGGGGGGGTTGCTGGATGTAGCCAGTCCCGCCAGCATCCAATGGCCCATGGCACCAGAGCCCGAGCACCCATGGTTTCTGCCTGTAGACACTGGGCACCTAGGCCTTTCCGTGGACACCCAGGGTAGTGGGATGGGCTGCTGGGGCTTCGTGGAGGAAGATATAGAAGGGTAACTGTGGCCGAGGCTTGGCGAAGCAAAATGAAAGGAAGCTTGCATTCTTCCGGGAACCCCACGCTCAGGGTGACCCTCTGAGGGACTCCTCACCCCCTGGCTGGGCCAGAAGCCTGGAATCCAGGGAGTCCTGAGTATCCCAGGAACGTGGGGGCCACAGGGAAGACTTTGTGTTAGGCCGCTGACTCACCCCTAGACGCCCCCACCTAAGGCCCTGGTCCCCAGACACTCAGGATACAAAGGACAGAAGGCAGGATCATGGTTCAGGAATCCAAAGTTTTCAAGAGGGGAGAAGCCAGGGTTCAGATCTCCGTATCTGAGGGAGGAGGGGCTAGGGTTTGGACCCCTGTGTCAGAGGAGGAGACTGAGGTCTGGACCCCTGTGTCAGAGGGGGGAAGCTGGGGTCTGGACCCCTGGGTCTGAGGGAGGAGGGCTGGGCCTAGACCCCTGGATCTGAAGGAGGAGGGCTCCGGCCTGGACCCCTGGGTCTAAAGGAGGAGGACTGGGGTCTAAGTCAGAGGTTTGAGGAAGAGAAGCTGAGACTCTTGGCTGAGGAGAAAGGGGCTGGGGGTTTCTGAGGGAGGTTGAGCTGGGACCCTGATGCCTAGGTCCTGCAAATACAGGCGCCTTCACAAGGCTGGTCTGCTGGAAGAATTGATGCTTTGTGCAGCGATGCTCGGACTCCGCCATTGATGGGGGGGCTGAGGGGGGGTTCAGGCAGGACCCAGGAATGTACCAGCTTCCCAGGGGAGGGAAAAGGAAAGAGGCATGGTTCCAGGGGCCCCCTGGGGAACGGATACAAAGGGGGTGGCTATGACCTTCCCAGAACTGTGACCTTGAGACTCCCTTGGGTATTCGCTGACTCAGGACCCAGGAAGTACTCCCCCATCCTGCTTAGTCTCTGTGGAAACATCCACCAGCTGTGCACTGTGGACCCCTGTCTCATGAGTCTGAGGGAGGAGGGCTGGGCCTAGACCCCTGGGTCTGAGGGAGGAGGGCTGAGCCTGAACCCCTGGGTCTGAGGGAGGAGGGCTGGGGTCTGGACCCCTGGGTCTGAGGGAGGAGGGCTGGGCCTGGACCCCTGGGTCTGAGGGAGGAGGGCTGGGCCTGAACCCCTGGGTCTGAGGGAGGAGGGCTGGGGTCTGGACCCCTGGGTTTGAGGGAGGAGGGCTGGGTCTGGACCCCTGGGTCTGAGGGAGGAGGGCTGGGGTCTGGATCCCTGGGTCTGAGGGAGGAGGGCTGGGGTCTGGACCCCTGGGTCTGAGGGAGGAGGGCTGGGCCTGGACCCCTGGGTCTGAGGGAGAAGGGCTGGGCCTGGACCCCTGGGTCTGAGGGAGGAGGGCTGGGCCTGGACCCCTGGGTCTGAGGGAGGAGGGCTGGCCCTGGACCCCTGGGTCTGAGGGAGGAGGGCTGGCCCTGGATCCCTGGGTCTGAGGGAAGAGGGCTTACCCCGGAGCCCTGGGTCTGAGGGAGGAGGTTCCTGGGCCTGGGACAGTTGTTGCCTGTGTTTGTGAGTCTAGGGTAGAGGATGCTGAGTCTCTCCATGTCCCCTGACAACCCCTTTTCCAGAACCTCCCCTCTACTTGTCTCCAAGCGCAGTCCCCATGATGACTTCTGGCTGTCAACACCATTTCAAAGTCCATGCCCCAGTCCCAAAAGCTCAGCCCCTCTCTGACCAGAAAGTCCCGCCCCCACCCCCCCAACCAGAAACAAAAGCCTTGGGCCAATTAGTATTCCAGGCAGAAACACGGTCGCTTACTGACTCTTCAGGAGGGGGAGGGAATTCAACAAAAGCCCCCCCACGCCCCATCTGCACCCTCAAGCAGAGAGCAGTTGGAAAATGGGAGAGGTGGATATGGGGGTCCTCATAGCTCCCAGGAAATGGCAGACTTTGTCACTAACTCCTCTTGGATACCTCACTCTCCACATCTGTAAAATGGGGGCTAACTTCATATTAGCTGTGAGGGCTGGCGAGATAGTTGTTAAGACTTCATTTGGTTGGAGTTTGTTTTGTTTGGTTTTTTGAAGCAGTGTCTCATGTAGCCCAGGCTGGCCTCAGACTCGATGCTTAGTCAAGGATAACCTTAAACTCTTGATCCTCCTGCCTCTACCTCCCAAATGCTGGAATTATGGGTATGCACCATCATGCCTAGCTTATGCAATAGCAGGGCTCAAACTCAGGACTTCAAGAAATGCTAGGCAAGCACTCTCCCAAAGGAGCTACATCCCAGCACAAGATTATTATTTGGGGATTTTGGTTTATAAGGCAAGGTGTTCCTTGGCTGGCCTGGAACTCTCTAAGTAACCAGACTGGCCTCACACACTCAGAGATCTTTCCTGCCTCTGCCTCCAGGTTGCTGGTATTACAACCCCCATACCCAGCAAGATTTTTTTTTTTTTTTAAAGTATTGACCATGCAGACTAGTTTTCATAAGGCCTGGCTTGTTCCCAGAACCTGTAATAACAGCCATCAAAGAGGCCTCTTCTGGAGTGTTGGGTGCAAGGCTGACTCCTGCGAAGCTATCTCTGGCATCTCGGTCATCTCACAGATGGCGTGGACTCTGCTAATAAAGGTTGGGGCACTTCCTCAAGGTCACATGGATGGCAAGAGATGGAGCTGGGATCTGCCTGGCATTTACAATGAGATCCCCAGGCAGGGTGTGGCAGAGCATGTCTGTGACCCCAGCACTAGGGAGGCTGAAGTGGGAGGTTCAAGAGTTCAAGGCCAGCCTGGCCTATATAGTGAGTTTTAGCGTAGTGTGGTCTGCGTGGTAAGACCCTGTCTCAAAGAAAACCAAAATAAAGCTGCGGTTCGTAATTGTCTGGAAGCCCAAGCAAGATCCTACCTGAGTAGTGTAGCACTTTCTGCAAGCTCTCTAAATGTTCTGTTTTTAATTTTTAAAATTTTGTTGTTATAGTCATTTATTTCTTTTGTGTATGTGGGTCCTGGGGATCAAACTCGGCTTGCTGTCTTTACCCACAGAGCCATCTTGCAGCCTCGTTTTGTTTTTTGTTTGTTTGTTTTTGTTTGTTTGAGACAGGGTCTCTCTATTCTGTAGCCTTAGCTGGCCTTGAACTCACTGTGTAGACCAGGCTGACCTTGGACTCACAGAGATCTCTCTGCCTCTGCTTCTGAAGCGCTGGGTTTAAAGGCGTGTGTCACCACGCCTGGTGAATTTTGCACTGTATGTGTGAGCATGTGTGTGAGTGTGTGTGTGTGTGTGTGTGTGTGTGTGTGTGTGTGTGCAGGTGCCTTCAGAAGTCAGAAGGGGCATCGGGTCTCCTGGAGATGGATTCATAGGCAGTTGTGTGCGGTCTGATGTGGGCGCTGGGAACTGAACTCAGGTCCTCTGGAAGAATGGCAAGTGCTCCTGACCTCTGTGAGCCATCTCTCCATTCCTGCTGTTGTTTTGTTTTTTTTAAAAGATTTATTTATTTATTATGTATACAGAAGAGGGTGCCAGATCTCATTACAGATGGTTGTGAGCCACCATGTGGGTGCTGGGAATTGAACTCAGAACCTCTGGAAGAGCAGTCGGTGCTCTTAACCTCTGAGCCATCTCTCCAGCCCTCCTGCTATTGTTTTTAAAAGACTTATTTTTATAAATTATGTGTGTGTCAGGATATGTATATGCAAATGCTGGTGCCTGCAGAGGCCAGAGGCATCAGGGCCCCTGGACCTGGAGCTCCTGGAAGTTGTGAGCTGTCTGTTGAGGGTGCTGGGAACTGAACTCAGATTGTCTGCAAGAGTCGCAGGCGACCCTCTTAACTGCTGAACCGTCCATCTCTCCCGCTCCCCCAGATTTGCATTTCTGAGACAGTGTCTCCTGCAGCCCAAGCTGGCTTCCAACAAGATACATAAGGGAGGATGACGTTGAACCACTGATCCTCCTGCCTGGCGACTGAGGGCTATGCATACTTCTTGACTGGGTGTGTATGGGTGTGTGTGGGTGTGTGGAGCCTTAACCTCAGTTGGTCACACACTCACCTTCGTAGAGCCTCGATGTTATTTCCATAGAATACATCAACCAATGGGAAGGAGACAGAAAGTGTTTTGGAGGCAAAGAGACAGAGGGTGAGGGAAGGTCTTTTGGAGGAGGTCAGAGGTCACTGAAGGAGCACAGAAGACAGCCCTAAGATGGTGGGAGTTGTAGAAGAGGACAACCAGGCAGAGGGAAGTACATGCGAAGGCCCTGAGGGGGGAGCAAATTCAATGTGCTTGAGGGACACTGAGGCCAGTTAGTCTAGAGGGCAGTGAACAGGAGAGGGGTGACACCTGGGCCTGTTCGGTACCTGGAAGGGCCCACACAGGAGTTTGTGATAGGCTGCCGTGGGAGGGCTGGATGCTGCTGGCGCTGCTGGGCTGGGGTGGGCTTTGAGGTCTTCCACACCACTGGGCAAAGGCCCAATCATCCGCAGCCCTGTTGGCTGATTTTAACGTGGGCATGGTGGTCCACACATCACTCAGGAGGCTAAGGCAGGAAGGTCATGTGTTCAAGAACAGCCTGGGTGTGAGAGGCAGGCATGGAAGATAATACTGTAAGCAGGTTCTTTGTGTGTCTGAGTGTGTACATGTTAGTGTGTGAACATTTGTATGTATGTGCACGTGTGTGGAGGCCAGAGATCCAGGTCACGTGACCTCCTCAGCTGCTCTCCACCTCGGTTTGTGCTTTTACTTATATGCTTATTTCATTTGAGACAGAGCATCACTGTCACCTTTGCTTAGCTTAGAACTCACTGTGTAGAGCAGGCTGACCTCAAACTCCCGGAGATCCACTTGCCTATTCCTCCTGAGTGCTGGGATTGAAGACATATGCCACCATTGTGCCACCATACCTGACTCTCTCTCTTTTTTTAATTTGCTTACATTTTTATTTTATGAGCGAGGGTGTTTTGGTCACATGTATGTCTGTGCACCCATATGTACCTGGTGTTCTCGTAGTCCAGAAGAAAAGGTTCCCTGGAACCAGAGTTTACAGATGGCTGTTAGCCACCGTGTTGATGCTGGGACTCAAACCCGGGTCCACTGAAAGAGCAGCCAGTGCACTCGACCTCTGAGCCATCTCTCCAGCCCCTGCATGTTTAAAATTACGTGTATTTATTTATTTGAGTGTGTGGGGGGGAGTTGATGGCAGGTGTTATGACACTCATGGAGGTCTGAGGACAACCTGCAGAGACTGGTTCTCTCCCTCCATCACATGGGTCCCAGTGATCGAACTCAGGTTGTGGGTCTTAGCAGCAAGCACCTTTACTCACTGAGCTCTTTCGCTTGCCCCTCTTCCCCAACCCCCGCTTTTTTTGACCCAGGGTCTCTCAAGGAACCTGGAGCATACCAATTTGGCTAGAGTAGCTGACTAGTAAACTCTGGGGATCCTCCTGTCTGCACCCCCCCCCCCCGCCCCACCCCAAGCCCCTGGCTTACAGGTGCGTGCCTGCTTTATTTGTATGCTGGAAATCAGGCCTCGCACTTGATAAGCAGCAAGCATTTTATCCACGGAAACATCTCTAGTCCCCTGAGTCCCATGCATCTATGGGGTGAGAGGGTAGCTGGAGAGATGGTTCAGAAGTTAAGAGCACTCGTTACCCGTGCAGGACCAAGGCTTGATTCCCAGCACCCACGCGGCAGCTAAGAACCATCTGCAGCGGTTGTTCCAGTTCCAGGAGAGCTGACGCCCCTTCTGGCCTTTAATCCCAGCACTTGGGAGGCAGAGACCTCTGTGAGTTCGAGGCCAGCCTGGGCTACAGAGCGAGATCCAGGACAGGCTCCAAAACTACACAGGGAAACCCTGTCTCAAAAAACCAAAAAAAGAAAAGAAAAGAACAGCAAAACAATGGCTCAGTGGTTAAGAGCACATACTATCCCTGCTGAGGACCTGAGTTCTGATTCCCAGCCCCCAGGTGAGGTGGCTCAAAATCACTTGTAACTCCAGCTTCCAGGGATCCAAACCCTTTGGTCTCCTAGGGCACCTGCAGCATGTGCACATACCCACACACAGACACATCATGCACGTAATGAAAAAATAAAATAAATCTTAAATGTAAAAGAGTCCCCCTAGTCAGGTACAGTGGTACAAACCTTTAACCCAGGCCTCATCTACATGTCAAGTTCCAGGTCAACCAGGGCTACACAGTAAGACTGTACCTAAAAAAAGAAGCAGCCGAGTGGTGGTGGCGCACACCTTTAATCCGAGCACTTGGGAGGCAGAGGCAGGTGGATCTCTGTGAGTTTGATGCCAGCCTGGTCTACATAGTGAGTTCCAGGACAGCCAGGGCTGCACAGAGAAACCCTGTCTTGAAAAATAAAGTAGAAGAGGAGGAGGAGGAGAAAAAAGAAAGAAAAACCCATATAATCTGGGCATGGTGGCATGCCTGTTACCTTAGCATTCAGGAGGCAAAGTCAAGACAGTCATGTGTTACAGGTCAGCCTGGACATGAGAGGCAGGCTTGGAAGTTGAGACCCACAGATAGCTTCTGGAGAGATCCAGATGAGAGATGAGGCCAGGATTCTGGGAGACAGACAAAGCCACATGGATTCCGACACGTGTAAGAGGTAAAATATGCAGACATTGCTGGAGGGACGGGTGTCAGGGCTGAGGAAGAGGTCGAACACTTGGGTGGCTTGTCGTCTTTTGGCCTGAGCAACTGAGTGGATGGTTTGCGGCACCTACTGCACTTATAAAAATGTAGGGAAGAAAATATTTGAGGTGAAGATTGAATGTGTTGCGTTTGTCATTCTGGGAGACACTAGATAAAATCCAAAGGGTGGTTTAGACATCACCAACATAAAAAAAAAAAAAAAAGTCCAGAATTGGAAAGTGTGTCCACTCCACATCACCACCAAAGACCCGGACACTTCCAACTCTTGATTCCATCACTCCTTTGTCACTGGGACCCAAAATGGCTGCCAGCATCCCACAATCCCGTCCTGTTTCCAGGATGCGTGAGGGTGTCCCAGTAGAAAAAAAGGGTTTTTCCCCCTTTATTAGGAAGTACTCCATAAATGATTGTATGATATTTTTGCTTAGGTCTAATTAGAATAAACTTTATCACATGACTTTACCTAGCTGCAAGGGAGTCAGAAATATCTCGCTGGGCAGGGAACAACCGTAAAGTACAATGAGGCTTTCTTGACGATAAGTGGAAGAATGTTGAGATGGGAAGCCAGCAGTCCCTGCTTATATCCTACAGAAGGAATCCCTTGAATCTAACACTTCTGATGGAATATTACATTGATTTGTGGCTAGTTCCTTATAAATGGTAAAGATTTTCTAAGGGCCTGGACCTCATCTGACTTATCTCTGGGTACCAGGCCCAGAAACTTCCCTGACACTCAAGGGCTGCACATACCGGACAACCCACTACAAGGCAGAATGGAAGACACAAGGAGAATCGCTCGGCTTATTTTGTTGTTTTGTTTCTTCGAAGCAGAGGTGCTTTTAATATAGCCCTGGATGGACTGGAAAACCTCCTTCCACATCGTCCCTAGTGCAGAAATTACCAGTGTGCTCTGCCATGCCCAGCCATTAATAATTTAAAGAGAGTTGAAATGGCTACGGTGCCTCATATCTATCTCGTGGCACTCAGGAAGTGGAGGCTGCCACGCTACAGGAAAAACCAAGGCAAATCGTGAATTCCAGGTTCAGGGAGACTCCTTGCCTCAAAGGACTAAGGTGGGTGAGTGACAGAGGGGATATTCAATCCTAATGCCCTCCTCTGGATTCTGTGCAGACACTCACACATGAGTACTTGCACACACACACACACACACACACACACACACACACACACACACACACACACCTAAATGGTAAATAAGTATAAATCCAGAGACTGGAGAGCTGTTTCTGTGGTTAAGAATACTGGCTGCTTTTCCAGAGGACCCAGGTTTCATATCCAACACCCACACCAACTCCCAACTGTCTGTAATTCCCGTTCCAGGATTCAGATGCCCTCTTCTGGCCTCTGTGGCCACCAGATGCACAAATGGTGCATTCACATGCAGGCAGGCAAAAAACACCTGTATATATAAAATAAAATTGAAAGATAAATAAATAAATAAATAGATTCTGGCCAAATAACTGGCCATCCACTGTAGAACATGTCTCTAATTCCAGAACCAGAGAGGCTGAGACAAGAACGTCACCTGAGTCCTGAAGTTCAGAACCTCTGGGCAACCTAGTGAGATGAGAAATCAGCAAACAGATAGAAAAAAAACCCAATATAGCTTCTTGCCATGGCAAGCCTCTCACAACATCGTCCAGAACCCTTCACCAGTGCTGGACATTTACCCAGATGGCCGGAAGGGATGTGGAGGCAGGCCAGAAGGTCAGAGGCTCCTGCCTTTGGCAGTTTTGACTATGGCCAATTTCCTCACCTACACACTGGGACTTGAGATGTGAGGCTCTGAGATCAGTCTCTGGCACAGATTCATTATCAGGGAATTGGGAAAACAGGGATTGAAATAGAGCCCCACTGCCAGGCAGTGGTGGTGCACGCCTTTAATTTGAGCACTCAGGAGACAGAGGCAGGAGGATCTCTGTGAGTTTGAGGTCGGCCTGGTCTACAGCGCAAGTTCCAGGACAACCAGCAGGGCTACACCAGAACCCCTGTCTTGAAAAACAAAAACAAAGAGAGAGAGAGAGAGAGAGAGAGAGAGAGAGAGAGAGAGAGAGAGAGAGAGAGAAAGAAAGAAAGAAAGAAAGAAAGAAAGAAAGAAAGCGAGCCCCCTTTTCTGCATTGTGAAGATCAGTCGGGAAGGACATGGCAGTGCCCTTACCACAGGAGCTCCAGCAGCACATGCTCATCAGTGGTAGCTATGGTAGTGCTGTTACCTTGGGAAAGAAACTGAGGCTTCTGGGGGCACTGATGCTGTTAGGGTTGGCTTTCAGCTTCCTTTCTTTGCTAATGGAAACGGAACCCATGACCTTGCCCAGGTCAAGGAAATACTGAGCCACGCCCTCAGCCCCTCACTGGGGGATTCTAGGCAGGGACTCTATCATTGAGCCACACCCCAGCCCCTCACTGGGGGATTCTAGGCAGGGACTCTACCATTGAGCCACACCCTCAGCCCAATATTACCTTTCAGTCCTGTCATTGGTTCTTCTAATAGTTATTCAAGGTGGGCTAACTGCTGTCACAAATAATCCCAAACTCTTAATGTGCTAACAAAAACTCAATCTGAGTTGGGCATTGTGGTGCACACCTTTTAAAATTTTATTTTATTTGTTTTCCAGACTTTGTTTGTTTTCAGACAAGGTTTACTTGTGTAGCCCTGGCTGTCCTGGAACTTACTCTGTAGACCAGGCTAGCCTCAAACTCGGAGATCCACCTGCCTCTGCCTCCCGAGTGCTGGGGTTAAAGGTGTGCACCACCAAGTCGGATGTGGTGGTGCATGCCTTTAATCCCAGCACTCGGGAGGCAGAGGCAGGTAAATCTCTGTGACTTTTAAGCCAGCCTGATCTATGGAGCAAATTCTAGGTAAGGCAGGGCTGTATAGAGAGACCGTGTCTAAAAATAAAAATACGCCGGGCGGTGGTGGCGCACGCCTTTAATCCCAGCACTCGGGAGGCAGAGCCAGGCGGATCTCTGTGAGTTCGAGGCCAGCCTGGTCTCCAAAGCGAGTTCCAGGAAAGGCGCAAAGCTACACAGAGAAACCCTGTCTCGAAAAACCAAAAAAATAAATAAATAAAATAAAAAATAAAAATAAAAATACGTCTCAGGCAGGGCCATGGGGGACAAGCAGCTGTGGAGCTCACTCTTATGTGAGGCCCCGCTCTTCCATGTGCTTCCTGGATTGTTCTGGCCCTGTAGATGTGCACACTTGTGCTCAGTTGTAGGGGAGAAAGACAAGGTGGGAAGAATTATATCCAGCACTACAGCCATTGACCCCCAGTCAGTCACATGGCCACACCCAGCCACAGGGATGCTAGGGGAAAATGGCATAGGCGTGTGACAGAGCCAGGACGTCACGGCGGAACACACCACTCAGAATGTGGAAAAATGACGGCTGAGAGCCCGGGGGCAGTGCTGTACACTCGTAACCATACCACTGTGGAAGCTGAGGCAGGTGGGTTAGGAGTACAAGACCAGCTTGACTTACATGGTGAGACCTTGTCTCCGAACACAAAAACGGTGGGGGGAACTCGCTATTTACTCAGATCGTGGGTGGGAGGTTTAGACTGAGTCAGGTGGGCAGACTTCTCTCGGTTTACACTGGGGCCACCTGGGGCTCAGTTAAAGTATGAGATTCAAGGTGGCCTCCATCACAGGATGGGTGGCAGGTGCCTCAAAGAGGCTATTCTGGGTATTTTTACCAACAGTCTCTGGGTGGCAGATGGCACACAGGAAGCTGTTAGGCATCTCTAAGCCTGGGCTTTGTGACTCTTACTAGATTATTTCTAACAAAAACACCTCTCCCTCCGCAGCTTGGTCTCCTACTGCTCTCCCTATGGAACTGAGGATGACCTTAAACTTCTGACCCTCCTGCCTTGATCTCAAGCACTGGGATTGCAGGCATTCACCACCACACTCAGTTTATGCTGTGCGGGGGACCTAACTCAGAGCTTCATGCCTGCTAGGCAGGCACTCTAGCTACAGACATTCCCACCCCAGTGTGTGTGTGTGTGTGTGTGTGTGTGTGTGTGTGTGTGTGTGTGTGTGTATGTGTGTGTGTGTGTGTGTGTGTGTGTGTGTGTGTGTGTGTGTGTGTGAGAGAGAGAGAGAGAGAGAGAGAGAGAGAGAGAGAGAGAGAGAGAGAGATCTTTTGTCTTTCAGACAGGGTCTTGCTTTTGATATATCCCAGCTTTGATCTTACTATATTGCCCAGGCTGGCCCTGTACTCCAGACCCTTCCTGCCTCTGCCTCCCAAGGACGAGAATTTTCAGGGCTACATCTACCAAGTTCTCTTGGTCACTGCAAGTCCTAAGTCGGCCCAGATTCAGGATGGTGAGCCTCCTGAATGGGACGGTCAGCTGAATCAGCTTGCAGAGGATCTCTCTAGACCAGGCTGGCTTGGAACATAGGGAGAGAATTGAGGGAGGAGAGGAAAAGGAATTTGTAACCGGATGTGATGATGTAAACCTATAACTCCAGCACTGGAGAGGCACGGGCAGGAAGATCCTGTCAATTCCAGGCCAGCCTGGTCTATATATGTTCCAGATGTGGGAAGACAACCCATCCAATGAGCTTCAGTGGGTGCCCGGGTGTGAAAGACGTCAGCCTCCCACACCGGGCGAACTCCAGCTCTGAGATCCAATGGGGATTTCTTCTGTCAGAGCCTCCAATTCCTGTCCATCTTCCTGGGCAGTTCTCTCTCCCCTTCCTCTTGCTCCTAATGCCCCTTGTGCTACCACAGACACATGCCACAGAGTCTTGCCTTGGCTCCTCTGGAGACCATTTTGTCTCTCCAGACTGGAGAGAGAGGGGACTAAAGGCCAGGTTTGGTGGCTCACCCCTGTAATCTCAGCACTCATGAAGCTGAGGCAGGAGGGTTGCCATGAGTTTGAGGCTAATCTGGGCTGCAGGGTGAGAGACTATTCTCAACAACAAACCAGGATCAGAGTTCAGCAAGTGCAAGGCTCAGAGTTCAGGTCCCCAGTACCCACATAAATCGGCTGTGGTCCTGGAAGCTTGCACCAAAAACAGAGATGGGATCCTCAGAGTAAACTGGCTAGTGGACCTGCTGTTTAGCAATCCCAACCCGGACCTGTGATCTCTGGGTTCGACTGAGAGACCCTGCTTCAATGAATAAGGTGAAGAATCTATCTTAGAGGAAGACAGGTCAGCCTTGGATCTCAACACACGCATGTGAACATGTCCATGTTCCCCCACTTATATAAACACACAGGGCCTCATGCGCGACCAAGTGCGCGCACACACACACGCACGCACGCACGCACGCACAACTGAATGCCATCTCAGGGACTCTCCCATCTGTTTCTCTTGGTTCAGGAACGGGACAGGAAGTGCAGACAGAGAATGTGACAGTGGCCGAGGGTGGGGTGGCTGAGATCACCTGCCGTCTGCATCAGTATGATGGGTCCATCGTTGTCATCCAGAACCCAGCCCGGCAGACCCTCTTTTTCAATGGCACCCGAGGTGAGTGCGGGGACCCTTGACACCTGTGACCTCAAAGAGGACACATCTACACTTCTGACGGGGAACAGGGCTGAAAGCCTTTGCTCTCGTGGTCCTGCGGGGGGGCGGGGGGGAGCGGGGGGGGCGGTGCTGGAATGGGTTTCCAAGGGAACAAACAGTTAAATAAGCCATGTCTGGGGAAAGGTAGGGGGCTGCATCTGTCTGGAGACCAGAAGCCCCCAAGTTGAAGCCCCCTCTTCACTGCAGCTCTAAAGGACGAGCGATTTCAGCTGGAGGAGTTCTCCCCGCGTCGAGTGCGCATCCGGCTCTCCGACGCCCGCCTGGAAGACGAGGGGGGCTACTTCTGCCAGCTCTACACGGAGGACACCCACCACCAGATCGCCACGCTCACTGTCCTAGGTACTGGCCTTCCCCCTCTCAGAGCCCCACTCATTCATTCTCTGCTTCTCACTTGTCCTGAGACCCATGCGCCCGGGACGTCTGGCTCCACCAGACCTCTGGTCTCTGCGTATGACCCCTGCCACCTGTGGGACCCTGGCTCCCATTGGTCCCTAGGATCCAGCAGCCAGATTGACTTGAGCCTACCTCGGTGCCTCCCTTGACCCCCCTTTCCCCCTCCCACAAACACCCGCGCCCCTTTTCTGCGCAGTGGCTCCGGAGAATCCCGTGGTGGAGGTCCGAGAGCAAGCGGTGGAGGGCGGCGAGGTGGAACTCAGCTGCCTGGTTCCGCGGTCGCGCCCCGCAGCGGTTCTGCGCTGGTATCGCGATCGCAAGGAGCTGAAAGGTACCCAGGGATAGTTAGGCAGGCAGGGTGGAAGAGCAGGGCGGGGGTGGGGTGCGGGCTCCGGGCTTGGGGAAGAGGCGGGGCTAATGGTGGGCGGGGCCTTGAGAATAGCGCACCGGTTCTGACGGACGCTTTCCATTCGCTGTTCAGCAGTTGAGCTAGGCGTGATGGCACACGCCTGTCATCCCAACCTTTGAGAGGTGGAGGGAGGAGGATTAGGAGTTCAAGATCACCCTCGGCTACATAGCGAGGCCAGCCTGGACCACTCCAGACCCTGTCTCAAAACAAACAAAGCGAAACTAACAAAACTTAGACCAGACTCCTAAGGTGTGGGAGAGACAGGGGGTGTGGCTAGGTGAAAAAGGCCAGGCTTATAGTTAGGAATACGGCTTGGTCAGCAGCCTACCTTGGGATCAGGAGGCAGGGCAGAACCCCTGGCCTGACGTTTCTGGACTGGGTCCGGCAGGAGTGAGCAGCGGCCAGGAGAACGGCAAGGTGTGGAGCGTGGCGAGCACCGTGCGGTTCCGTGTAGACCGCAAGGACGACGGCGGGATCGTCATTTGTGAGGCGCAGAACCAGGCGCTGCCCTCGGGACACAGCAAGCAGACGCAGTACGTGCTGGATGTGCAGTGTAAGTAGCTCTGGGGTCTGCACGCTGGCCGCCCGCCCCCATCCTGCAGAATGATCTCTCATTTTTCCCTCCTGCGCTGCAGACTCCCCCACGGCGCGGATCCATGCCTCTCAAGCTGTAGTGAGGGAGGGAGACACGCTGGTGCTGACGTGTGCTGTCACAGGGAACCCCAGGTGAGATCTAACTTCTGGCTCCTAAGGGGTGAGGAGACTTGGGCCTTGCACTCCTGGGTCTTATGGAAAAAGATAGTGAGGCCGGACTCCTGATGAAAAGGGCTTGGAAGAGGTGAATTCTTAAAGCTCTGGCTACCTGTAGAAGCTGGCCTCAAGCCTGTCACTTGGTTTTCCACAAGAAAAGGGCTGAGAGATGGTCCTTTTGTTTGGTTTTGGTTTGGGGTTTTTGTTTGTTTGTTTGTTTGTTTCTCGAGACAGGGTTTCTCTGTGTAGTTTTGGTGCCTGTCCTGGAACTCACTTTGTAGCTCAGGCTGGCCTTGAACTCATAGAGATCTGCCTGCCTCTGCCTCCCGAGTGCTGGGATTAAAGGCGTGCGCCACCACCGCTGGACTGAGATGGCCCTTTTTTATTAAAAGAAAGAAAGAGGGCGGGAGAGGGCGGGCGGTGGTGGCGCACGCCTTTAATCCCAGCACTCGGGAGGTAGAGGCAGGCAGATCTCTGAGTTTGGGGCCAGCCTGGACTATACAGAGTGAGTTCCAGGAAAAGGCGCAAAGCTACACAGAGAAACCCTGTCTCAAAAAACCAAAAAAAAAAAAAGAAAGAAAGAAAGAAAGAGAAGGAAGGTAGGTTATGGTCAGGCGGTGCCAGGTGGTGGTGGCACACACCTTGAATCCCAGCACTCGGGAGGCAGAGCCAGGCGGATCTCTGTGAGTTCCAGGCCAGCCTCGTCTACACAGCGAGTTCCAGGACAGCCAGAGCTACACAGAGAAACCCTGTCTTGAAAAACAAAACAAAACCAAAAAATTATGGGGCCCAAGGAATGGCTCAGCTGTTCATCCAGAAGACCCTGGTCCAAATCCCAGCGCCCATGTAGTGGCTTGCAGTCCTCTGTAACTCCGGTCACAGGGGATCCGACGCCCTCTTCTGGCTTCTGAGGGCACTGCAGGCCCGAGGTGCGCTGACATACATGCAGATAAAAACCCCATACACACACATACTTTTAAAAATATATTTTTGCGAGAGGTGGGACGCATACCGCTGCACGTGCAGGGAGGTCAGAGGACAACTCGTGAGAATTGCCCTTCCACTCACTATGTGGGTCCCAGGAATCTCATTCATAATCAGGCTTATCAGCAAGTGTCTACCCTTTGAAACATTTCACAGGCAGATTGTCGGGTCTTCTTCACCCCCTTTCATTGCTGGGGATTGAACCTGGCACCTTATACATAGCTGGTAAAGGGTCTACCATTGGAACACACACACACACACACACACACACACACACACACACACACACACACACACCAGCAGTCACAGTGGAAGTTAATGCTGGATCGGAGCTGCATATCCAGATTCCTGGAGAAGTCAGATTCTTGGGTTGCTAACTCTGTTTTTACCCACGGCCAGGCCAAGCCAGATCCGCTGGAACCGGGGGAATGAGTCTCTGCCGGAGAGAGCGGAGGCGGTGGGTGAGACGCTCACCCTGCCGGGCCTGGTATCTGCAGATAACGGCACCTACACCTGCGAGGCGGCAAACAAGCACGGCCACGCGAGGGCGCTCTACGTGCTTGTGGTCTACGGTGAGGGCGGAGCGTGTCAGGCCTGGGGGCGGGGCCGGGACTGGCTGCAGGGCGTGAGGGCGGAGCCTGAGCAAAGAGGTCGGTCGCTGGTTAAGTAGCCCGGGGTGGGGAACAATTTGAGTCAAACGAAGAGGAACATGGTAGCTGACCATGGCCGGACTCTACTGTTATCCCAGCGCTTTGGAGGTTGAGGCGAAGGGATCACTCATTCGAGGCCAGCCTGAACTAAATAACCAGTCTGCCAAAAAAGGCAGTTGGAGGGGGTGTTGGCTGGAGGTGCAGCTCAGTTAATAGAGTGCTTGCTTTGCATGTATGATAAAGCTTGGATACAATTCCCAGTACCACATAAATCCGATGCCATGCCAGTAATCCTCGAACTCTGGAAGTAGAGGAAGGATAAGAAGTTCAAGTCCATCTCCATCGATTTTAAAATTTTTTTTTTTTTTTTTTTTTTTTTTTTTTTGGTTTTTCGAGACAGGGTTTCTCTGTAGTTTTGAGCCTTTCCTGGAACTCACTTTGTAGACCAGGCTGGCCTCGAACTCACAGAGATCCGCCTGGCTCTGCCTCCCGAGTGCTGGGATTAAAGGCGTGCGCCACCACCGCCCAGCTGATTTTAAAAATTTTTTAATTTAACTTTATTTTATGTGCATTGGCATGAGGGTGTTGGATCCCCTGGAACTGGAGTTACAGACAGTTTTGAGCTGCCATGTGGTTGCTGGGAATTGAACCACGGTCCTCTATAAGAGCAGCCAGTGCTCTAAACCGCTGAGCCATCTCTCCAGCTCCACTTCCATCGATTTTTAGACCAGTCTATAATACAGGAGACATTCTTTTTTTTTTTTTTTTTTAAAAAAGCAAACCAGACTGGTCTACATAGTGGAAGCCTAAATCCTAGCTAGCTGGGGCTACATAGTGAGACCCTGTCTCAATAAACACACAACAGGGGTTGGAGAGATGGCTCTGTAGTTAAGTGTGCTTACTGCTTTTGCTGAGGACCGGGGCTGGATTTTCAGCACCCACATGACAGTTCACAGCTCTATAATTCATGTTCCAGATCCAGTGTCCTCACACTTGGTGCACATAAATCCAAGCAAGCACGGATACATAAAATTAAGTAAAATAGGGGCTGGAGAGATGACTCAGAGGTTAAGAACACTGGCTGCTCTTCCAGAGGTCCTGAGTTGGATTCCCAGCACCAAGTGGCCCACAATCACCTGTAATGAGATCTGGTGCCCTCTTCTGGCCTGCAGGGATACATGCAAACAGAACACTGTATACATAATAAATAAATAAATCTTTTTTAAAAAATTAAGTAAAATGTTTTTGAAAACCCCGAAGCTAGAGTGGGATGTGTTACTTCTGGCTTAGGGGTGAAAAGGTGAGGAGGTTCACAGATACTCAGAATGGAAGACCCACGAGTGTAAAAGCCAAGGATTCCCAGAGGAACTGGAGCTAAAGAAAAATGGGCTACAAACGGCAGGCATTTTTGAGGAGCGAAGCTGTGTGCAGAATAGTTTAATGGCCTGGCAACAGTAGGCCGGATTAGGACCTTCTCTAATGACCTGTCCCTCTGGCAGACCCCGGCGCGGTGGTAGAAGCCCAGACATCAGTTCCCTACGCCATTGTGGGCGGCATCCTGGCGCTACTAGTGTTTCTGATCATATGTGTGCTAGTGGGCATGGTCTGGTGCTCCGTCCGACAGAAGGGTAAGTGGGGCAGCACCTGAAGTCAGGGAAGGGTGTGGACGGTTTGATTCTGGATAACAAGGGGGCGGAGCCTAGACCCTAGATTGGATTCGAAATCGCGCCATATTTTAGACCAATACTCTGTAGGGGAAGGGCTTTGGGCCCTGGGCTCTGAAAGGGCTGAAATTTAGTAGAATTAAGGGGAGGGACTTTGGGTAATTTATTTTTCAAATAGCTGGATTTATTGACAGCATAAACGTAAGGGAATAATATCAGAAAAGAAACGGGTGGGGAAGGGGGAGGAGAGAAGGGTCCTGGGATAGGGCTCAATCGATAGACTGTCTAGCAAAGCCGTGGACTCCGTCCTCCAACACTGCACAAAATGGATCGTGGTGGTGCATGCTTCTAACCCCAGTATTTGGGAGGTGGTGGCAGAAGTATGCGAAGTTCAAGGCCACTTGAAGCTTATCTGGGAAACTGGAGATCCTGTCTCAAAAAACGGAGGCGGGGCAGTTGGAGGGATAAGGGTGGGTTTTTTTTCTGGGAACTTTTGGAGTCTCCCTAATTCCGCTTTTACCTTTCTCTGCCTCTGTCACGCGCTTCACTCAACTTGACTCTGGTTCCCTTTCTCCTCCTTCCTTCATGTGATGTGTCTCTTGCCTGTCTCCTTCCCCTATATCCACTTCCTGGGTCCACATGCGCAACACAACCCTTTGCCCTGGGGGCATCTTTCTTCCCTCAGGCTCCTATCTGACCCATGAGGCCAGCGGCTTGGACGAGCAGGGAGAAGCCAGAGAAGCCTTCCTCAACGGCAGCGAGGGACATAAGCGTAAAGAAGAATTCTTCATCTGACCCCGTCCCCACCCACTGCCAGCTGCAAGGAACCAGCAAAGACATTGACCAGAGTCCGGGAGGGCGGGCTTCTCCCCCCACAGCTAACACCTCAGGCGTTTGGGCAGGGATTGGGGGTGCTGGATGCCTGGACCTCTCCCAGGGACGAAGGCTAGGGTCCAGAGGCTTTTAGGGTCCCCTAGAGGAGACAGGGACCGAAGGTCCCTTCTAGACCCCAAGTCCAGGGAGGGGTAATAGGGATTTGGGTTGGGGGAAGAAAACAGGGGAAGGCCAGAACCCCTAGGCAACAGAACCAGGTCTTGTGGGGAGGGAGTCAGATTCTGGGAAGGGTGGGGTGGGCAGGGAAGGGGAACACAGATTTCTTAGGGGTCCCAGACCCCATGCCAGCCATTGTAAGAGTTCCACAGAGCTCTGGGCACCTCTTTGCAAAGCCATGTTCGCACGGTGGGGGGAGGGGAGGGGGAGGGCGTGGAAACGGGAATTCTGTGTCTTTGTGTGAAAACTCTGATGGGGGCAGTGAGGGAAACAACCCCAACTTTTATCCAGTCCCCCTTCCGGGTTCCTGGGCGGCTCCCCTTCCCTCCATCTCCACCCCCATGTCTTCCCCCTCCCATATTTGTCTGTCCACCCACTCCTGGGGGGGCCTTCCCCATCTCTCCTCCAGGCCCCCCGGGGAGGGGGAAAGGAGTTTGGAAGGGATGTGTGGTCTCTATGGTTTTATATATAATATATTAAAAAATCAAAAATCTGTATGAAAAATATCAGATTGCACCCCTCTCCCCCATTCCTGGCTTTTGCCCCTTTTTCTTGTTTAAAAAAACAAAGCAAAACACATTTTTGTACGGGGCGGGGAGGGGATAGGGAGGGGGTTTGGCAATCCCACTAACCACCATTAAACTGAGGAGAGAACAAGTGTTTGGGGTGGCTGTGTGTGTCTGTCCACTACTATACACTGGGAGGGGGAGATGCAGGGGTGGGAAGGGGAGTGATATGGATTCTGATACACAGGAAGGTGAGGGGGCCAGACCCCACCAAGGCCACCTCTATCCACTCCAGTTCAGCAGGAATCTGAAATTTGATCCTGTTCTAGGCACTAAGAACTCAGGGTGAAAAGGGGACCCTATGCTGACCTTCATGAAACTTTGATGAAGGAAACAGACTCAGCAAGGTAGCAAAATAATTTTGATGGTGGTGGCACACACCTTTAATCCTGGCACTCGGGAGGCAGAGGCAGGCGGATCTCTGAGTTTGAGGCCAGCCTGGGCTACAGTTAGTTCCAGGACAGCCAGGGCTACACAGAGAAACCCTGCTTTGAAAAACAAAACAAAACCAGAAGACAGTTTCCGAGCTAGGAACAGTGGCACACATCTGCAACCTTCAGGGAGTGGAGGCACAAGGGCCTAAGCAAATCCCATGGCATCTTGGTCTACACAGCAAGCTCCAGGCCACTCCTAGCTACTTAGCAAGACCACGTGTCCCCTCCCCCCAAACAAAAAAGTTTAATGCTTTCTTTAAAATTGGAAGCCAGGCGGTGAATCCCAGCACTCGGGAGGCAGAGCCAGGCGGAACTCTGTGAGTTTGAGGCCAGCCTGAGCTACAGAGCGAGATCCAGGAAAGGTGCAAAGCTACACAGAGAAACCCTGTCTCGAAAAAACCAAAATAAATAAATAAACAAACAAACAAATAGAATTGTAAAGAAGGCCATTAAAATGCCAGCTGAGTGTCTTAGTCCTTTAGAAGCTGAGGTAGGAGACTGAGTTTGAGGCCAGCCTGGGCTACACATTAAGTTCCTGTCTAAAAAAAGAAGCTGGAGGGTGGGGGTGGCTCACGATTTTAAACCCAGCACTTGGGAGGCAGAGGTAGGTGAATCTCTGAGTTCGAGGTCAGCCTGGTCTACAGAGTGAGTTCCAGGACAGCCAAGGCTACATGGTGAAATTCTGTCTCAAAAAACCAAAAAAAAAAAAAAAAAAACAAAAAAGAAAAAAATCACACACCTTGAATCCCAGCTCCTCGAGACAAGAGGCAGGTAGATTCCCGTAGCCGTCTTGGTCTACATAGCAAGCCTCAGTCGAGTGAGGGGGGTGAGGGGGTGGGAGGGTGGGGGGAGGAGGTGGGGGGGGTTGGGGGGCGGCTACTGTTTGGTACAAAGTGAAGGAGACAGAAAGGAGCACAAAGTCCCAGGCACTCTTCACCCCACCTTCACCCACCATCAAAAGTGCATCCTTTATTGAAACAGGTGCTGTGTCAGTTCCCTAATTAACTCGGTCTGCAGAGGCTATATTACCCAGGAAGGTCCCTCAGATTGACATCAGTGCTGAGAAGGAGTAAGCACAGAGCAGGGGGAGGGTGCAGGGGGAGCTTTCTCAGATAAAGCGGACAGCAAGATTAAAGCCCGAGACAGTAAAAAGATGACTGTGTTTGAAGTGCTGGGGATCTGGACCTGATAAAAAGGTGGGTGGGTCCAGAAAAAGCATCAGGGTCAGAGCTTTAACTGAGAGGCCAGGTGTGGTGACGCAACCCTGTCATCCCAGCATTTGGGAAGCTGAGGCAGGAGAACTGTGGGAAATGCCTGAGAACCAGCCTGGAGCGAGCGAGCGAGCCAGAGTTCCACGCCATCGTGGGCTACACTAGGAGACTCCGTCTCAAAAACAAAACAAAGCAAAACTTCGTATTCTACGGTTTAATGGGAGCGTTTCAGGTCGCTAGTGATAAAATCGGGGGGGGGGGTTTGTGGTGACGGCTACGTATAGTCAACATAAAGTTACAGCTCTTTAAAATGCCTGTAATTTCAGCACTCAAGAGGCAGTGTTCAAGGTCATTCTCTTTGACCCAGGGAGTTAGAGGCTAGCCTGAGCTACATGAGTCTGCCTCAAAAAAAAAAAAAAAAAAAAAAAAAGAAAGAAAAAAAGAAAAGAAAAAGAAAAGGAAGCAAACACCCATGGGAGACTTTCTGCTCTCCAATGTGTTCTAGCAAACGAAGCTGCCTGTACTTCCTTTAAGAATGCAGACAACTCCTTTGCCTCTGGGCATTTGCATTAGCTAGTCCCTCTGCCAAGAGAGTCCTAGTTGGCTCCTGTTCAGACTTGGCTTAAAAATCAAGCCCTGGAAGCCCTTGCAGAACCCTGGGCTGGAGCAGGCGTTTCTGGCACCCACAGCCTCCTATTCTCCACCTCTTCGAGGTCAGCAGCTCTAGGTATTAGTCTAGACAAATGTGGTTCGTCTTCCTTAAATTGGGTGTGTGTGGGGTACCAGCTCTCTCGAAACGCAGAAACCACGCGCTGGCCTAATTCACAAGAGAGCAATAAAGACTTATCCTGGGTGGCAGGGGCATGAACCGGGTCCTAGACCTTCCGTAGTTTCAGGAAAAGGCGGCCAGCCAGCCCACCTCGCTCAAGTCGGCTGTCCCTACACGCATGCGCCGTGCCCAGGTTGCACCCCCCCCCCCTCCCATCCATATGCTAATCTCTGCGCTCCGAAGGACAGCCTCTCCCGGGAATATGCAAATCACACCCTCCAGTGCGGGAGGCCTTCCTTTGTCCCGCGCTAGGATTATGCAAATGAGAGAGCCTCCAACCCCGGGATCCAAGCCGAGCACTTAGGCCCCCACCCCTCCCCACCCCCCACCCCCCCCACCCCAAGGCGTCCCCTATTTATAAGGCGCGTGAGCTCCAGCGCGCGCGCACGCACGCTCGATTCCTGAAGCTTCCCGGGGGGGGGGTCGAGCCGCGGACTGTACCAAGTCCGGCGGGGGCCCCGAGCGGCCGAGGCCGACGGCCTCGCCGGTTGCAAGCTCCGCAGCCTGCGCCGGGGCCCTGAGCCCCTCTTCCCACCGACGGCCGTCAGGAATGGGCCGTCCGGCCGCGCACGCGCCCTGAGCTCCACTCGCCCCTCGCGCGCCGGGGGCTCCCTGAACGCAGGCGCAGTGCCCGGGGCTTGTAGCCGCCACCGCCACCGCCACCGCCACCGCCACCGCCACCGAGCCCGAGCCGGGGCCGCCGGCGCCGGTGAGTGTCCGTGCTCGGGGTGCGCGGGGCATGCCGGGACGCGGGCGATACCGCCCCCGCTGCATGCCGGGAGCCCGCGGCCGCTTGGCAGGGTGACCGGCCCGAGCGACAGTCGCTTTGCTTCTCCCAGCACGCGGCTCAGAGCCTACCGCAGCTTCGCCTCGCAGCGTTGTGGGAGCCCGTGGGCCAGGCGTTTTACGAGCCTGGGGCGTCCTGGGCAGGGCCCGGGCTCCTGGAGGGGGTCCTTTTTGTTTTTGGTCGCACACGCTTTCCGCGAGACAAGGAGCGTTTCGGCGCTTGGCGTTTTAGAAGGTGGTCGTTAAAGGCCCGAGGCATCGTGGGAAGTTGTCACCGGGCATTGTTTGGTGTTCGGGTTTGTCCGAGCCCTTGTCCTACGTAGCGTTGTGCGGCAAGGTACCTAATTGTGTTCACTCACACCGTGCTGGTTCAGTGTCGTGTGGGGTCCGGGCCACGTTATTGGCCTTTGTGGGAGGTGGGAGAGACGGTTTCATGTAGCCCGGACTGGCTGGCCTTGAACCCACAGTATTGTGGAGGATGACCTACAATTTATCACCTGCCAAGTGCTGAGTTTGCACGGGTGCACCACCACGCCCAACTGGTTTTCACCTGTAGTACTGAGGATGTTTTCTTTTTTGTACCCGTACCGTCTTGGAAGTCAGTCTGGCTGCGTACAGGATTTCCGTACTGAGGGATGGTTCCACCTGATGTCCAGAACATTCTGGAAAGGAGCTTTGTGTAATGTGGGTTTGGAAAGGGATGGTTGTCCCCAGGTAACCCCAGGGAAAGTCCTGACGATCCCGGGTATGGTAGCCAGTAGAGTAACAGTTAAAGCCCGGTGTGTGTCACATGCCTATAACTTCAGCAACCCGAGGCTGGGGCAGGAGGGTCAGGAATTCTAGGTCAGTTCTGGCTACATAGTGAGACCCGATCTCAAAGCAGAATGCGTTTGCATAGTCCTAGGTACTGCATGAACATGTATATTAAATTATTATTATTATTATTTGGTTTCTTCGAGACAGGGTTTCTCTCTGTAGTTTTGGTGCCTGCCCTGGATCTCGCTCGGTAGACCAGGCTGGCCTCGAACTCACAGAGATCTGCCTGGCTCTGCCTCCCGAGTGCTGGGATTAAAGGCGTGCACCTCCACCGCCCGGCTATATTAAATATTTAATATTAATATTAAAAATTGGAACCAGTTGTTTTGTTTTTCCATAATGTAGAATTCCAGAATTAGAGGGGCCCTGCGTGTGATCGATAGATAATCATGAGAGCTCTTCCTTGCCAATTACTGATTCTCTGTCCTTAAAAGGCCTGATCCACGTGTCTTTTAAGTCCCCATCCATTGATGCCGCGCCACTCTTCCTGCTTCAGCTTCATTCCCCTGGCAGTGACTTTGACATCTATGCTTTGAAGAGACAGTGTGCTTTCTACCATTGGGTCCCCACTGCCTAACATACAGGCTTTGTCATGTTTTCAGTGAGGCTGAGCCAGATGGAGTGGTTGCATTATCTATAATCTCTGCACCTGGGAGGTTGAGGTTGGTAAGATTGCGGGTTCAAGGCCAGCCTGGGCTGTATAGCAAGAGTCTATGGAGAATGTAAGGATATGGTGGTTTTTAGTCCTACCTTGGCCCTCTCACAGTGCAGGAGGAGGAGGAGGAGGAAATGTGTGCTTTGGGAGAGACAGGGATTATTAGGGCTGAGGAGATGTACAGAAGATGTTTATATGTGGGCTTTGCAAGGTGAAGATTAGTTCTCCAAGGCCCACAAAGAGGAAGGAGAAAATTGCCGATGGCCGCCTGCAGGGTGTAACTAGGAGCCCTCCACCTCCAGCTATAAAGGGCCTGTGTGCACCCTCCAGAAGTTTGGAGTGGCTGGAGGGGCGGGCGGGGGCAGTAGTCTGCCACACACCTACAAGTTCTGTGAGTCTGAGTCTGTTTTTTAGAGATAGGGTCTCATGTAGCCCAGACGCTGTGGAGTTACCAATGACCTTAAACTTGAGATTTCTGCCAGCCTAAGGGCTGGATTGCAGGTGTGGGCCGCCATGTGTCTGAGCTTACTGATATTCAAAGCATGGCTTTGAATCCTTGTTCAACCACCAGTCTGGTGAGGTGACCTGTGATCTTGGGCTTTGGGCCACCTTGCAGGTCCTTTCTGTAAGTAAGTTCCTTACTTACTCTCCCTCTTCTGCCTCTAGGGAGCCTTTTCTGCGTGGTTATGAGTGTACCAATCAAGGCCTGGAAGCAGGCTTTCCAGAGAAGGAAACAAGACAAGAGAAGTTGGGTTCCTTGTGAAGCTATAGCCAGGAAAAGTTCAGACCTAGGCAAGGCTGACTTTCACAAATGAGTGTAGTTGATGCTTGGTATACCAGGTATGGTGGTACACCTATGATCCTGGCACTTGGCAGGAAGATCTATCTGAGGCTACTTAGTGAACTTGAGGCCAATTTCGGGATACATGAGGCCCCATTTCAAGCAAGGAAAAAAACTGAAGGGTAGCAATGTGACTCAGTTGGTAGTGTTCTTGCCAAGCATATATGAAGCCCTAGGTTTGATCTCCAGCATTTGGGAGGTAGATCCAGGAGCATCAGAAATTCAAGGTCAGCCTAGGATATTTGAGATCGTGTCTCATGAAAACAAAACACTTCCGGGATAGTGTCACAGCTGTACCAAGTTTTCTGTGTCCCTAATAGTTAACAAGGTATCTTCCCTCAGCCCCAGACCTCCCTACCATCCAACAGCTAAAGAGTTAATGCCTGGCACAGGTGTTTTCCTTTTACACTTAGTTATGATCGGTGCCCGTGCCAGTGCCTACCTTTAAATAACTAGGGATGTCATCTCTCCCTACCCTACTGAAGAAGAACCACTCAGTCTTGTTGACAAGATATAGAAGTTGAGGCCTCCAGGAGGCAGAGTCTGGAGGTCATCGTTACCTCCCTGAGCACACAGCAGCGGTCTTGAAATGGGGACAAGTGTTATGTAAAACTTTATTGAGTCACCACAGGCCTTTCCTTTCCCCATGTCCAGCATCCCTCTCTACCTGCCAACATCCCGTGTTAGAAGAGTTTGTGGCTGGAGGTGTGACCGTGGGAGAGCTGGCCGGGGAGGGACCCTGCCCAGTCGCTGCTCTGCTCCTGTCTCTTGTCCCCTCCCCTGGCCATGACAGAGACCCGTGAGCCCACTGAGACTGGAGGCTACGCCAGCTTGGAGGAAGATGATGAAGACCTTTCCCCAGGTGAGGTGGCCTTAGGAGTCCTGGGGTTGGCAAAGCTGTCATCCTGGACGTGCATTCCCTTGGGAAGTCGTGATGAGGAGTGACCCCTTCCCTTGCTGTGGACTCTCTTCTGACTAGAACTCCTGGTCCTGGTGGGAGATGGCTTCCCTGGGTGGCTCTCAGGGGCTGCAGCTTGGTTGTGTTCTTGGCGCTTGTGGGTTCTAGAGTGACTTGGGGAGCTCTGCTCGATGGTGGTTCTCGGGTGGCCGCCGCGACGGCTCTCCTTGCTCCGTGCTCTCTTCCTGATGGAGGCTGGAGACTGGCTTTGGGCTGTGTCTGTGCTGGGGTTTCTAGACTGGCTGCACCCGCTCCCAGTGCTAGGCTTCCTAGACCGCCGGTGCCCCTTCTTCCTGGCCGGTCTTGGTCGGGTCTGATCTTTCTCTCTGGTACTTCTGGACCGGCTGCGGCTTTTCTCCTCACTGGAAGTCCTAGACCACGCTTGGCTTCTCTCTCTTCCTGGAGCTCTCCATGGGTTGTGACTTTCCTCTTGGCTGTGGGCTCTGGACTGGCTGTGTCTCATATGTGTGGGTGTGACCCTCCGGGTACGACTTCTTGCCCTACCACGATTTCTCTTCCAGCTGTAACTTCTCACCCGGCTCTGGGTCCTCTTGTGACTGCGACTTCTTGACCTTCTGGGGGTCCTAGAGCGACTGTGACTTCGGGTCCTGCTGGGGGTCCTAGAACGGCTGAAGCTTTGGGTCCTGCTGAGGCTGCTCTCTTGCTTGTAACTCTTGGACATTCCTGACATGGCATTGGCCAGGGTGTGAGTCTGTCCCCTGCTGGGGGACATCACCTGGCTATAGCTCCTGGCTCTCCTGGATGCCACAGGAGATCTGCTAGAGCTCTTTAAGGCTGTTCTACTTAGGCTGTGGCTCTTGGCTCTGCTGGGGATTATAGGTAGTCTAGAGCTGCTCCTCGGGTCTGAGGCTCCTGGTGCCTTGGGGTTTTTTTTCCCGGCACATGTTTCTGGACTGGCTAGCGCTCCTTTCCTGGGTGCTAGTTCTAGGTTGGCTGTAACTCTTGCCTTGGCTTTGTTTGCGGTGGGAAGTAGGGGTCCTTGCCTTCTTGGCCACACCTGGTTTGGCAGAGTGGGTTCTCTTCCTGCTAGGAGTACTTGATCTGCTCGGGGATGTCTTGGAGCTGTGGCTTCCCCTCCTGCCTGGAGTTCGCCCTCGGCTGTGTGGGCCTTTCTGCTGATGTCGTCCTACAATGCCAGTCTTGCCGTCCTTCCTGCCCTTGCTGGCCCTCCTGGCCTTGGTGTCAGTGCTCACCTGACTGGACGTTCTCATCTTGCTGTGGCCTTGGGACCTGCTGCTGGGCCGGGATGAAGGAGCTGTCTTGGTACCTGTTGATCTGGTAGACTTAGGACTATCAGGGCTCATGACCAAGTTAGGGGACTTAGGATGCACGGAGGGACTGTTGGATACTGCTGCTTTGGTGGTCTTCAGGGAGGCTGGAGCTGTGGGAGCTGTGGTGGGCACGGAGGGCCCAGTGGGTGCCGGAGCCATGCTGGGCTTGGAGGATCTCTTTGATGGAGAATGCATGGCGGGTGCAAAGGGGCTTGAGCTCCTGGAAGTCATGGTAAGCATGCAAGATTTGGTAGCCAAGGACAACAACCAGGTGGCTCATCACAAGCAACTTCGTGAGGTCATAGTGGGCACTGAGGACCCTGGAGGGTGAGGCGAGAGGTGAGAGAAGAAGGTGGGGCCCTGGCACAAGGCTGGAGCCTCTTAATAAATGGAATCATATCCACTCAGACTCAGCAGGGCTAAAAATTGTAGCTGGGTTCACAGGGTCTGCCTTGAGTCTTCAGGCCTCGGTGATGTTATTGCCGGGTTGGGGGTGGCAAGAAGGCTTTATAGAGGAGGTGACATTGAGCTAGGCCTCACAAAGGAGCTGGAGTTGCTGGTAGAGCACAGAAGGGTCTTCACAGGGAAGAGCAGAGGGAAAAGCCTGGAGGAGGGAGCCCAGAGCCTGGGCTCACCATTAGTTATGACCCACTTGTCATCTCCTAGACTGAGGTGGGAACCCCAAGAGTTCCCAGGCTGACAGAGACATCAGGCCTAGAATGCCACAGCCCCTGGAAAGTGATGGGGGCAGCAATAACCAGGACCGTCAGGGCAGCGGCTGTGGTAGAGGGTTGCCTGCGCTGGGTCCTGAAGCCTGAATAGGAAGGGCCAAGTGAACATAGTGTGGAGCGATGTGCAGAGAGACGCCTAGGCCTCAGGGAATATCTGTAGACTGAAGTTTCTTGGTCCCGCCCGGGCATCAGCCGCTTTTATAAAAATCACCACTCAGAGGCTTAATATTAATGACAAACTGTTTGGTCTATGGCTCAGGCTTCTTGCTAGCTAGCTCTGACATCTTAAATTAAGCCATTTCTATTCATCCTTGTATCGCCACATGTCTTGTGGCTTTACCTGTGTTCTCCTGCATCTTGCTCCCCTGGCAGCTCACAGCGTCTCCCTGACTCTGCCTTTCTTCTCCCTGTATCTCTCTTGGATTTCCCGCCTGGCTGTATCCTGGGTTGCCATAGGCCAAATCAGCTTATTAACCAATAGTAGCAACACATATTCACAGCATACAGGAAGACCATCCCACAGCAGATATCTGTTGAAGGTAGAGGGCAGCAGAATGGGGCAGGGACATTGAAGCAGTCCTGAGACTGGGAGGGATGCACAGAGGACACAGCCCTGGGTTCAGAGGGGGCGGTGAGAGGCCTGTAGAAAAGTTGACTGGCTACCTAGGAAGAGGAGGTCTAGGGTGGCTCAGCAAGGGGAGAGCGGGACAGAGCATCCATAGCAGAGGGGACAGCATCCAGAAGGTCAGTGTCCATTCCACAGATACTCAGCATGCAGAGTGTCCTAGCCATCAGGGCCACCACACAACCACTACTTCTCTTGGGGACAAGAAGAAACATCAGTACAATTGGTGTGCAGTTGATTGGACTGCAAGAGAAAATTAAGGCAGAGTGGGGGGTATAAGGCAGTGCTGGGGAGAGCTGCTATGAAATAGGGTGACCAGTGTGCTCCAAGACAGAGGGCTGGAGCTTGATCTGCAGAAAGGGAAGCAAAGGCCCTTGGGTAGGAGCACACCTGTGGTACTGAGACAGCAAGGAGCCCATGGTGACTGGTGAGGACAGATGATGAGGTCGGAGGGGCCCCCTGGGGTACTGAGACAGCAAGGAGCCCATGGTGACTGGTGAGGACAGATGATGAGGTCGGAGGGGCCCCCTGGGGTACTGAGACAGCAAGGAGCCCATGGTGACTGGTGAGGACAGATGATGAGGTCGGAGGGGCCCCCTGAGCATCTGTTGCCACCATGGTGATGTGAGTGAGGGTAGAAACACCATCCCCGTGAGCTGCAGGAGGAAGCAGGGGCAGAGGGAAGTTGTTGCCACAGTCCAGTGGGGTACTTCCAGCAGGCCCTTCCCAGTGGGGCTGCAGCAGGCATCTTGAGGACTGCCAGCCCTTGGCCATGGGGACCCCAGCATGCGTGTGGCCCCAGACCAGCTGCTCGTGTATTTAGCATCACTTCACGTTTTTTCTCATTTCAGGGCTTTCGCTACATTTTATTAATTGATTTAATGAGGGTGGATATACCTTCTTGGTACCAGGAATGGGGGTCCCAGGACAACTATTAGGAGTTAGTTTTTTTTTTTTTTTTGGTTTTTCGAGACAGGGTTTCTCTGTGTAGCTTTGCGCCTCTCCTGGAACTCACTTGGTAGTCCAGGCTGGCCTCGAACTCACGGAGATCCGCCTGGCTCTGCCTCCCGAGTGCTGGGATTAAAGGCGTGCGCCACCCCCGCCCGGCAGGAGTTAGTTTTGTTCCTCTACCGTGTGGGTCCTGGGAATGAAACTCAGGTTGTCAGGGTTAGCAGCAGGTGCCCTCACCACTGGGTTGTCTGCCAGCCTCTGGTCATGGTTTTAAACCCAAACTTGTGTATGTGTGGTTATGCCCTGAAATCATTGTAATGTGTCTATACTTAATTGACTTGTGTGTCTGAGGCAAAATGATGAGTTCAAGGCCATCTTGAAACATGTATGTATGTACATACGTACACACATACATACGTACACACATACATACGTACATATGTACATATGCACATACATGTGTTCTGTCTTCTAAAAACAACAAAAAAGAAAAGCCAGGTATAGCCTATAATCCCAGTTTTTGGGAAGTGGGGGCAGGAAGATCAGGAGTTCAAGGCCAACACTAGGCTATATGAGAACCTGTCTCAAAACCAAATGGGCTGGGAATAGATTAGTAGGTACAATGCTTGCCGTGGAAGCATGGATGCAGGGGTTTGGGTCTCCAGCGTCCAGGTCAAAACCCGGCACTGTCTCCACACCTGGGACACCACCGTGGAAGGCCCAGACAGGAGGGTCTTGGGGTTGGCCCGTCACATGCGTCAACGTGGTGAGCGCTGAGGTCAGTGAGAGACACCCTCTAAACAAACAAGATGACGAGTGACTAAGGAGAGCCCCGTTCCTGACTTCTGGCCTCTCCACGGCACGGTGTACTTGGTTCATGTTATTGTTGTTTCAGACTTTAGGGGTCCATCACCCAGCTCCCAAATAAGTACACAGAGACTTACTCTTTTTGGTTTTCCAAGACAGGGTTTCCCCATGTAGTTTTGGCACCTGTCCTGGATCTCGCTCTGTAGACCAAGCTGGCCTCAAACTCACAGAGATCCGCCTAACTCTGCCTCCCGAGTGCTGGGATTAAAGGCATGCACCACCGCCACCTGCCCTAACCCATTTTTCTTTTAACTACATTTTGCCCCTGGGCTTTTTTCCTTCCTTTATTCTGTCTTTCTTTCCTTACTCTATGGCTGGCCCTTGGTGTCCTCCCTCTTCTCTTTATTCTCCTTCTATTTATTCTCCCTGCCTGCCAGTCCTGCCTGTCCCTCTCCTGCCTTGCTATTGGCCGTTCAGCTCTTTATTAGACCAGTCAGGTGTTTTAGACAGGCACAGTAACACAGCTTCACAGAATTATACAAATGCAACATAAAAGAATGCAACACATCTTTGCATCATTAAACAAATGTTCCACAGCACACAAGTCTCTGTGTACACGCGCACGCACACATATACGAATGGGGAGAAACATTTTCTTATTTTCATTTACTGCATTTTAATTGACTACTTAGCCACCTATTGTGATGCTTGTCTTCCTGGAATGGTCCAGTGCAGGCCATTTTTATATTTAGCTCTCTGTGGTAGACCTATGCGACAACTGTAGGTGAGTGAGTCATATGCCTGCTCTATGCCTCAGTTTCCACATTGGCTCAGGTGTTGCTGTAAGAGCTGGGTGAGTACACACATACTGTCTTTGCTGTCTACCCCACCGCTGATGCCCATCTGTCTATTTTTCATTTGAGACAGTATCTCATTCTCTCTAAGCCAGCTGTCCTGGAGCTTGCAGTGATTATCCTGCCTCAGCCTCCTTGAGTACCAGCCTTACAGATGACAGATGCAATTCTTGCCAGACATTCATTTGCTCGACACATAGATAGATTCATTGCACCTGTGTTGTGTGCCAAGCTGTCCTGCCCATACAGTGAGCTTGAATGGGGCTCAGGGGGGCAGCTGGACACACACAGCCCTGATGCCATGTCTCTCCTACCTTGCCCCAACAGGCCCGGAGCATTCTTCTGACTCTGAATACACTCTTTCAGAGCCCGACTCTGAGGAGGAGGAAGAGGAAGAGGAGGAAGAGGAGACCACTGACGACCCTGAATATGACCCTGGCTATAAGGTGAAGCAGCGCATAGGTGGGGGCAGGGGAGGCCCATCCCGCCGGGCCCCCCCCGAGCAGCCCAGCCTGCTGGCCCACCTGCACAGCCCTGCCAGCTCTGTGGCCGATCACCACTGGCAGAGGCCCCACCAGGTACCCCACACCTTGCCGACTCTGCTGCCCTACAACAGCAACCCAGGAAAGCCCCAGCCCCTGAAGGCAGGGCTCTTGGTGAGGAAGAAGAGGAGCCATCTCGTACTGGGGAGAGCCGACCAGCAGGGCGGGATGGAGATGAAGACGAGGAGGAGGGGGGGTACCTACCACTGTACAGAGTGTGAGGACTCCTTTGACAACCTCGGGGAGCTGCATGGTCACTTCATGCTGCATGCCCGGGGTGAGGTTTAGGCAGGGCCCCCAGGGAGCTGGTGGGGGGGGTGGGAGCAGGGGCTGAGGAAGCTGGAGTGGGGCTGGGTTCCCACCCATCTGTGTTGTCTTAGCAGTAATGTGTGAAGGGCAGAATAAAAGCCGGATTCTGTGTGTGCTGAGCTGCATGTGTGGGACTGAAACAGAGCGAGCGGTCTACACCAGCATCTCTCTGTTTTGGAAATACCTCCTGAGTGCTGGGATTGCCTGGCATGCACCACCTTGACTGATTTTATGTGGTGCTGGAGATTGAACCCGGGGCTTTGAGTTAGGCAAGGTACATCCCTGGGCCATTTTTGTTTGGCTCCGTTTTTCTCTTGAGACAAGGTTCTGTGGGCTTTGAATTTGTGTTTCTGTTGTCGTAGACTGAGTGCCAGAATCACAGGCACGAAGCCACCAGCCATACTCAGGTAGGAGTCCTGGGATTCGGGCCTCCCCTGGATCCATGCTGAGGGGCCTGCCAGTGGCGCGGGCTCACTTCCCTGCTGGGAAGTCATTGCACACCTGTTGGCAGCTGCAGAGAAGCCTGGGAAGGGCCAGCTAGCCAAGCCCTCCGAGGAGGATGTGGCTTGCAGGGGCCGTGAAGGCTAGGAGTAGTCTGTCATCATCACACCCGATTCCCTCCTACAGACAGGACTACAGTACATGATAGCGAGCTCCCCCCGGGCTTCCTTGATGTGCAGTGCCTGGCCAGTGGCCTTGTCTGTTTGAAGTCAGAGATTCCGGAACTCATACCCAGCACCCCCGGCTCTACCCTTGATCTGCATGATCTCTTTAACAGTAGTTTTGAGTACCTCCCATGTGCTAAGTGTTGTAAATGCACCATTAAATAAGATTTACGTGTGTGTAGTGCCCTAGGAGACCAGAAGAGGGTGCCATTCCCTGGAATACAGGCCGTTGTGAGCCAGCCTCTGCACTTGGCTGCTAGAAACCCGAGCTTTGGGTCCTCTACAAGAGAAGCCTGCACTCTTAACCAGTGAGCCCTGGCTGCAGCTCTGCACATTAAATGACACCCGCATCTTCTCAGAGCTGACGTGGGCCCTGTGGGGCTGACACTGGAGACACAGTGAAAAGGACCGTCACATATGTTAGGTGGGAGGTGAGCACTGTGGAGAAAAAACAAGGGAAGGGCAAACTGTCCTGGAGAGGTGTCGTAGTGACTCTTTGCTGGGAAGGGACACCATGACCAAGGCAACTCTCATAAAAGGAAGCATTTGATTAGACGCTGGGTTAGAGTGTCAGAGGTTTAGTCCATTATTGTGGCAGGCATGGTGCAGAAGTAGTTGAAAGCTACATCCTGATGCTGAGGCAGAAGGCAGAGACAGACACTGGGCCTCTGAACACCTCCTAATCCTTTCAAATAGTGCCACTCCCTGGTAACGAAGCATTCAGAACTCATGCGGCCACCTATTTAAAACACCACGTAATTTTAAATCTCATAATTCTGCCAGGGAAGGAGGCAGTTGTGCATGAGAATGAACTGTTTTCTAGGCTGGACAAGGCAGGAGCCTACCTGGGATAATAAGGAAGGCCAGAATGACTGACTGCTGGGGGTTAAGACCAGGTCCCTGAGGTTGAGGACAGCAGGTTTAGTGTCCTGATGCTGTGCATGGTGATTTAGGAATCCCAGCACTCTGGAAGGTGTGACAAGTTGTTGAGAGAGTTCAAGGCCAGCCCGGGCTTAGAGAGTGATGTCCCTGTCTGAAAAAAACAGTATACAGACACACACACACACACACACACACACACACACACACACACACACACACACACACCAGGAAAGACAAGAAAACGAGACCAGGGCCCCTGCTTTGAGATAGGAAATAGGGCTGGAGAGATGGCTCAGAGGTTAAGAACATTGGCTGCTCTTCCAGAGGTCCCTGAGTTCAATTCCCAGCAACCGCATGATAGCTCACAACCTCTAGTGCCCTCTTCTGGCCTGCAGACAGACATGCAGGTGGAACACTGTACATAATAAATAAAAAGTTGCTTAAAAAAAAGATAAGAAATACTAATTGGGAGAGGCCTGGCACCAAAGCTGCTTTCAAAATAGAAGGCTGGTTATAATGATAGCACCATTCACCACGGCGTTTGCCATTGCCAGGCCCTGCTCCGAGGCAACCTCACACATTAGCTCATAGACGCTTGGCAGCTAGGCGCCCCTAGGAACAGGACCCGAGGTTACCAGAATGGCATCATGAAGTCCGTGCTCACAGTGGACCAGGCCCCGCTCGTATGGAGAAGAGGGGGTGCTGGGCTCACTCAGCTGACTCGGGAGAGCCTCTGAAGTGGCCTGCGCTGTCCCCCAGGAGCTGGGAGTACAGTGGTAGACTGGGTGGGGCAGAAGCGGAGGGTGACTTTTTGTTGTTTTGAGACAAGGTTCCGTGTGTCCAGGCTGGCCTCAAACAGCTCCGTAGCGTTTTCCTGACTTCGTCTCTTAGTCCGTGAGGTTCTGGGCATGGACCCAAGGCCTCACGTGTGCTGCACAGGCACTACCGACAGCTGTGCCCCAACCCCTGGGGGTTGTGTCATGACAGGGAGACTGCAAGCACGTGCTTAGATAAGCCATGCAAAGTGTGGGACCAGGCATAGTGACACATTGCTGTAATCCCAGCATTCTGGAAGCTGAGGCGGGAGTTCAAGGCCAACCTGGGCCACAGAGTCAGACTGCTGGAAGGTGAGTGTTCTGTGACTGAAGCTCAGGCTCCGGGGTTGGCTGAGGGAGTGCTGTGGGAGGTCTGAGGGAGGGGCCTTCTTGGGATGCTTGAGAGGGATTGGAGCGGGCTGGTGGAGGCCTGGTGACATCAGGGGGCTGAAAGGAGCAGAGGGCCAGGCAGCTTCAGTACCAGGAAATGAACCCAGGGCCGCCGTGCATGATGGGCAAGTGTTCTACCACTGAGCTACACCCCTAGTCCCCACAAGGCTGATTTCTACAGACACTTGTTTGTTTTATTTTTGTTGTTTTGAGACAGGGTCTCATGGCCCATGCCAGCCTGGAACACACTGTGTTGCCACCTCGAGTTTCTGATCTCACATCCGGAGTACTGAGATCATAGGTGTGAGGTCCTCCCCTCCCCCCAAGTCTAGCTTTATGCAGTGCTGGGAACTGCACCCAGGCCTTAGCTCATCTAGACAACCTCTCTTGACTGAGCTATGTCTCCTGCCCATTCGGGAACATTTTACAACCGCCACAATGGGTATAGAGGTTGAGCTGGGGGAAGTCCACTGCCAGTAAGAAGAGCTTGTATTCTGACCACTAAGTCAGAAGTGGTGCTCCACAGGGCGGGTCTGGTCTACAAGTACTACCAGCCCTCTCCACACCAGCCCTGTGAAAGGTGAGTAATACCACAGACAGCTTTCTGGCTTCTCTTGAAAATGGGGATCTCAGGCTAGAGAGATGGCTCAGAGGTTAAGAGCACTGGCTGCTCTTCCAGAGGACCTGGGTTCAATCCCCAGCAACCACATGGTGGTTCACAACCATCTAGGATGAGATCTGGTGCCCTCTTATGGCCTGCAGGGACATATGCAGGCATAACACTATATGCATAATAAATACATTTAAAAGAAAAAAAAGAAAATGGAGATCTCTAGTGCATGCCTTTAATCCCAGCACTTGGGAGGCAGAGGCAGGCGGGTCTCTGTGAGTTCGAGGCCAGACTGGTCTACAGAGCGAGTTACAGAACAGCCAGGGCTAGACAAAGAAACCCTGTCTCAAAAAAAAAAAAAAAGAAAAAGAAAAAGAAAAAAAGAAATGGAGATCTGGACTGCCAAGCCCAGTCTCATGGTCAGTAGTTTGCCTGAGGTCACCTCCCATAGATGAGGCCTTCTGTTCCCCCTTGTCACCTGGATGCTTCAGCAAAGGAGCTTTACATTTTAAATGTATTAGGCTACAGAGATGGAGTCTGCCCTCATGAATGGGATTCTGTCTGTGAGAGTGACTCACAATTGCCTATCAACTCCATTTCAGGGGGTCTGATGCCCTCTCCTGGCCTCACTAGTCCACACACACACACACACACACACACACACACACACACACACACACGATGCACATGATTGAAAATCTTTGAAAAGTGTGTGTCTGGACAACTTGAAGGAGTCTGTTTTCTCTCCCACTGTATTCCAGGAGTCAGACTCAGATCAGGTTTGTCAAGCACTTTACCTGCTGAGCTGTTACGTTTTTGATAGCCTGTTGAAGGTTCACAGATCAAAGTGTAGCTAGAGTTTTCCTGCCTGGCCCACAGTCAGGACAAATCTCTCTCACCTGCCAGTCCCACAGCCACTCAAACCCGACCAAGTAAACAGAGACTTATATTGGTTACAAACTGTATGGCCGTGGCAGGCTTCTTGCTAACTGTTCTTACAGCTTAAATTAATCCATTTCCATTAATCTATACCTTGCCACATGACTCGTGGCTTACCGGCATCTTCACATGCTGTTTCTCATCGTGGGGGCTGGCAGTGTCTCTCTGACTCAGCCTTCCACTTCCCAGCTTTATTCTCCTCCTTGTCCCGCCTACACTTCCTGCCTAGCCAATGGCCAATCAGTGTTTTATTTATTGACCAATCAGCAACACATTTGCCATACAGAACATCCCACAGCACCAAAGTGTGTTTGTTTAAGGATTTATTTATTATGTATACAGTGTTCTGCCTGCATGTATACCTGCAGGCCAGAAGAGGGCGCTAGATTTCATTACAGATGGTTGGGAGCCACCATGTGGGTGCTGGGAATTGAACTCAGGACCTCTGGAAGAGCAGTCAGTGCTCTTAACCTCTGAGCCATCTCTCCAGCCCCAATTTATTTACTTTTTAAATTTTACGTGCATCAGTGTCTTGTCTGCACGTATATCTGTGTCAAACTCCCTGGAACTGGAGTTATAGTTGAGAGCTGCCATTGGGTTCTGGGAGTTGAACTTGATTCCTCTAGAAGAGCAGCCAGTGCTCTTAACTGTGAAGCCATCTCTCCAGCCCCAAAGTGTCTTAAAACCCACTCTTCCCAGAACCGATAATAGCTGAGTATCCAAGAACTGGCAACAAATTCATGTGCATGGAATAGGGTATCTTTATGCTGACATAACAAAATGCTTGAGGCTGGGTACTTAATAAAGAATGTAAATTT